GGACAGTCTGTTAATCCCACGTCTCCCATTCTGATCCAGTCCCAACCGGGGTTATTTACCACCACGATTCGCTTCCGTCCCAACTTTGGTTTGGTCGGATATTTCAGCACATTTTGGCGAGTTGCCATCCTTGTTACTGGTTGTACATTAGGGTTGATATTATTTATCATTTTCCCTGATGGATGAGGTGGGAGGACACTTAATGTCCACGCCAATGGGTCTTCATTCGTTATTTTGTAAACATCCACATTGTCCAGAAACTGGCGTAGTCTCTCCCATCCCGGTGTTACTGGTGTTACTCTTGGTGGATTCTGCGCAATACCGGATTTGTACACCCGGATTGGTACATCGACGTGGAGGGCGATCAGTGTCAACAGCGTCAGAGCCAAAAGGATCCATAATACAGTGCGTCGCCGAAGAAACCTCCGATTACTGAAAATACAAAGTTCACATATTCGTTAGGATGAGGGAGAAACAAGCTGAAGAAATACGGAGGAAGACTTAACAAGCAAAACGTGCTGCTGGAATGTTACCTACTACTGACTAAGCCAGTGATGGAGTCGCATAGAAACACTCAGGCCGTCCTTACACGTCGTCTTCCATTCATCCTAAAGGATGCAAGATCCAAACTCAAATGTGACCTACATGCATTTCTGCATGCGACACCAGTAGAATATCTATCTGTGAATTGTGGTTAAATGTATCCAGAGAATCCACGCCATTGTGAGGACCGACCGACTGGCGAACGACTGATCGTAGCTGGTTCAGTAGGCACTTCCCAGGAGAGAGTACATTCCATTATCAGAAATACTGGGAATTGAAGAACGTATCAGCTCTTTGGGTGCCAAAGTTTCTGACATCTGCTCAAAGAAACGCACCAGGCACAACATGTTTTGTGATAATCTAGCTCTGTTTGAGGCTGATTCAGAAAGATTCTTGCAACGATTTGTGACTGTGCATGAACCCTGGGTTCACCACTTCCACTCCAACAGGCTGCCTATCACAGCACATCATGTATATAACCTCTCATTAATTGGTCGTAGTCACTCCAGCTTGACAACCGTATAAAAATCTACACGAAACGTCGCTCAATTCCGTCATTTAGTTTTTTATACAACTAAGATGAAATACTTTAATACGATCTATAGTGACAAATGGCATTGGGCATGACAGGTTTTATAACCCTTATTGCAACTGTAAATATGCATGTGGTTATAAACCATTTGTTGGCTCGGAATTCTACCTTTAAGGTATAACTTTTTCAATATTTATATATACTCACCGCCAAAAGAAACGCGAACCATAGAAACATATAGAGAAGTGTGTACGTTAAGAAGAGATGTTGCCAATGTGTACCATTCAATGACAAAAGTATCAATCAGTCATGGATCTATGACGTCACATGTGATGCGTTCATGAGCATCGGTTGACACAACATATCCGTATGTTCGATTATGTATTGAACCAATCTAATATCTCTTGAATATTAGTAAGTCTTCATATATTAATCAACATTCATGATATTAGCGTTTTTTTTGGCGGTGGGTATATTTGTCAAACAGTTTGTGTTTTCCGACCTCGTAGTAAATATTACGAGGTGATGTCTTCTTTTAAACCAAGTACAAGTAGAACTCTTGCAATTAACGTATACCCTCTCTCCCCAATATGACATGTTTTCAACCCATATGTATAATGGGCCGATGGCCTCAGCACATTTCTTGATTTTTATGAATAGTGATTTGGAAGGAAATTGTCTTCATGCGTCTATAGTCCCTTGTTCACAAATTTGATGGGCCAATATTTGCAACTAGTGAGTGAGTGAATGAGTCTGGTTTTACGCCGCTTTTAGCAATATTCCAGCAATATCACGGCGGGGGACACCAGAAATGGGCTTCACAATGTTTGCAACTATGTGCCATTCGTTATACTATATGGGCCATTGATAATTGCAATGGACCATTAATACAACATTACTAAAAAACAATTGCAGCTGGATAAAATATCTTGTCTTTTATAATTTTATGTTGAACTTCAGACAATAACAAGTCATTTCATCAACAAATATCACTGTGCCACTTACAAACGAAACTAGCGTCGTCCCTCGAAATAAGGCCCTTCATCGCACCACGGATTTGCTTAAACCACGGGTTAATCAATGGCTCCCATAATATACAGTATGTTACCCACAAACACATATCACCATGTCATCGGAAATAGCATATCAACAAATCCGTACTGAATTACAAAATGCGGCCTTGTCTGCGAGTTGGTTTGAAGACCTATAGAATATTAATAACATGGTCCTTGGCAGATTACACCAACTCGCCGTTTATTTCAGCAACCGCTATCAGATTACCGCTATTGCCTTAAAACAAACCTTAGTTCTCAGAGAATGGATACATATATCAATTGATAAATGTAGTACTTCCACTCGAAAAAAGTCATATTTGTTACAGTTTGACTAGTATATGTCAACATTATGTTTTCGCAATCGAAATAGCAAAACAGCGGGAAGTCCGGCGCGAAGTACCAAGCTCCGGCGCGAGCTGATATTAACAATGCATGGTACACGGCTCTTCATAATTTCGTATGGTCCTAAACTAGTATTGTATCAATCGCTTGAACGTAGTAAATACATGCTGACGGGGATTTTAGCAAATGTAGAGCCCTGAACAAGGATATATATGTTTACCTGAATATTTTTCTAGTCAAAGGTTGACCTAATTGCTATAAATATGAACAGTGTTATAGCTACCCTGCTATAATACAAAAGTACGTACATATTTGTTTAACGTTTAAGGAGTATGCAAATATTTCAAAATAATTAATAGTTAATTTCACGTCGTACAGTTAGGCCTCGCCGTAGCTGAGGTAGACAATAGGCGTCCTCAAATTAAACGATGCGGGTTCTAAGCCCGCTGACGACACACATGTTGCCACAATATGTTGCTTCGAGATATTGTATCATTGATAAACAACTATCCATTCCGGAAAAATAAATGGAGCGTTTAAACAATAGAAAGACGTCACAGATGTGTTTTACAACAGTGTATCGTCATACTGTTCCATACAAAAACCGTATCCGTGGCCAACTCGTGACATCATGCAGGCTACGACAAGAGGCGAGTAGTGGCGAATATAATAACTCATCCAAACAATATTCAATCTGACCCGTGAAGATCCGAGTTAGAATGAGTTGCATGGTTGGTTGGTTGTTTTGTTGTTTAACGCCGCACTCAGCAATATTCCAGCTTTATGACGGCGGTCTGTAAATAATCGAGTCTGCACCAGACAATCCAGTGATTAATATCATGAGCATCGATCCACGCAATTGGGATCGAAGACATGCATCAACCAAGTCAGCGAGCCTGACCACCCGATCCCGTTAGTCGCCTCTTACGGCAAGCATAGTCGTCTTTTACGGCAAGCATGAGTTGCTGAAGACCTATTCTACCCCGAAATCTTCACGTGTCGTTAGAATAAGTCAGCACTTTTCTAGCGTTATGAAAGTTATAAAAGTTAGGACCAGACATTCCAGTGATTGGCATAACGAGATTCGATCTCCGAAACTGGGAAATGATAACATACGTCAATCAGTTGCAAGTCAGCGAACCTGACCACCCGATCCCGTTAGTCGCCTCTTGCGACAAGCAAGATCATTATGGACCCGACTCTTCACGGGTAATATTTGATTATGACTTAGGCCACTGTGACCATTATCAGACGTTGGCTGAAATGTTTCTCATTTAACCGACCCCAACTAAAAATGTCCCTTATCAAGGTCGCTCTTACCTGCTCCGCGAGATAACCTACCCAGAGCTCTGTTTACCCTCAGTCACACTGACATATACATGCATGTGAGGGTGCCAACCACCCTCCCCAGAATCCCGAACACTACCTAGTTTTCACGGAGTCTGATTTGCACACCCCTGAACCCCGTCTACCACTTAAAGCCCCATCTGCGGTAGTAACTACCGCACTCTAGTGGGCGGAGCTTATACAAGTGATCTGACATTTGTTGTAGCCATGGTTTGTCATTCAAGTTGATACGAAGTTTGACGGTCAATGGTGATCTCGTTCCCGTATGGTTTTCAAAAAACGTCTCCCGACACTCGGTTGTGTTTACATTGTCAGTCATTGTTCGAAACTGAAACACCGCCACTTGCGGGCTATTTATAGTCAGGGTGGGGCTTTAACACAAATCTCAAAAGCACATGCCAGAATTCACACTCGAAAGGTAGAAGGATGTCGATCAAAGACAAAACCCTAGAGGGCTATTCCTCTCCACCTTAAACGGGGGAGATTTGAAGTTATTTTACTGAAACATTTAAAAACACAACAGTTGAATCTGCCTACCGAATACCCTTGGAATAGACCCCCGAATACCTCCTACCAAACGGGGGTAGGAAGCCTCGCATGTCGCAAGGGACGATGAAGTTTTCAAAAAGGCCCTTTTGGTAGGCGGTATTCGGGGAATATAAATAAACAAGTCGTATGTGGTATGCACATTCAACATTTAAAAATACATAAATTTGTTTTTGAGATTTGGGTTAAGTTGTATCAGGGGTGGGCAAATGAAAAATGTGATTGTATTCCGGATTCAGGGGAGTCGGGTTGGTACCCTCATGTATTGGAACACATTGGTTTAATGGGCGGGGTCGGGGCGGCTGGTGATTGGTGCGTGTGTGTTGTACACCCGGTTTTTGACAACTAGTGTTTCCGTGTTTGTCAATTTCCTGTTTTAAACTGCAACACAAGCCGGGTCAATGATAAACACATAGACAAAAGGTCTTCCAAAGCAGAGCTGGGGGAGAAATCTCCCGACCCACACACCACCACCCTTCAAGTCACTGTAATGTAATACGTATGACACCGCATACATTCTACAATGGCGGCAATAACGCATTTCCACAGCGGTTCAGTGAGTAAGAGCCATTATACACAGACAGTTCTTTATAAAAATATATACTGTATTCCAATTTCACAAAACCAGTACCTACCATTGGGTCATTTCCCCGAGTGTCTGACACTGGACAGTAGAGCTAGGCGTTGTCTGTTCCCCGAGTGTCTGACACTGGACAGTAGAGCTAGGCGTTGTCTGTTGGGGTGTGGGCAAGAGGCTGCACAGACTGTCTCAGGCTACATTACGGGTGTGCTTGGTAAACAACACCTGCCCGCTTTGAACGCACCCCTGTCCTTGGGGAGATATCACGTTCAGCTGACAAACGCAGGGGTGTGAGCGTGTCGAGATAGTGGGCACCCAACTCGTCTTCCTGGTCCTGGTGTAGACCAGCTGTTTCCGGATATTTATGAACTGCAGTCAACGTATCACAGTGCGAGGAAGTAACACCAGAATGTGTGCAGTACTGTACTTCCGATATACATAAACGGACCAGTCAAGAATGTCGAGTTTGACATTGAACCGCCTCAACGGCTAAAATGCGGCACAAAATTAGCAAGGCCACACCGAACATGAACTTTACACACATAGTAGCCATTGTGTCCACCTGTTCCGTTATTAGTTGCCGTCTACAAGGTGAGGTGAAATGGTGAGGTGAGGTGAGGTGAGGTGAGATTGGATTTAACGTCGCGTCCAAGATTATTGCACTTATATAGCGACGTGCATGTACGTGTGTGTGTTTGTGTGGCTGCTTGTACTAGTCCGGACTGATGCCGATTTATAGTGCTAGCTCACTGAGATACTATGCCGCAGTTTAACATGAATACCCCACTCAGACACAGTATACTGACTCCGAGCCGACCAGTCCTTGTTTTAGCCCCCTAATGCCGAGCGCCAGACAGGGTAACAACAAGTACCATCTTTTAACGTCTTTTGGTATGACGCGGTCGGGGATCGAACCCCGGACCTTCCGCTTCCGCTTCACGGGGACTATCCGCGCTGTCAAGATATCTCATAATGTTGTGCAGCTTTAAGAGAGTTTGGCTCAGCGCTACTTTGAACAGTATTTTCAGTTAGATCACTGCATGGGAGGAAAACCTAACGTGATGCAGGTCTTAGACGTTTACCACTTTTGTGAAACCCATGCACTAACATTCGAACCCGCGATCATACGTTTTTAGCACGCCTAAGGACGCAAACTACACAGGTAAATGTGACGCCATGGATGACTGGGCCACTCGTATTCCCAGGCCCTTGTACTGAATTCAGAATCGGGCACCGTGTAGATTTTCAAAGGAGGGCAGTGGACCGCATCGACGCTTTGAAAGACACCTGAAAACCAGCCCAATGTTTAGATTTCTTATCGATCTTTGTAGATCTATTGAGGGTCCACACGCATGTCTACAGATTGTACCACTGGTGATAGTCAGCACAAATATCCAAGTGAATGAATTCAGATGATTCACAAAGCACATGCACAGTGATTCCGGTAATCTAAGGCGAAGCATAACACGTTTAAAATATTCTGCGTTTTTATTCATTAGTTGACGAGAAATACATTTATACACTATTTTGCCATCTCACACTCACACCTTATTTTACAAACATACACTTACACCCTATGATACAAACTTACACTTACACCCTATGATGCAAACATACACTTACACCCTATGATACAAACATACATTTACACCCTATGATACAAACATACACTTACACCCTATGATACAAACATACATTTACACCCTATGATACAAACATGCACCTACAACCTATGATACAAACATACACTTACACGTTATTTTACAAACATACACTTACACCCTATTTCAGCTGGAGTCAACCCTCAAGACCATCTTGAAAAGGGCAGATGACTGAGCGCTGTTGAGCATGGACTATCTGGATACCCCACATAAATCTGTCTTTCATTATTATATCATGAACACAATTACATTACAAATATAATAACATTTCCTTCTATTAACATTGCAACAGTAAGTGGCGCAATATCGAGTTTCTCATGAAGAGTATTGAGGAAATACATGTGCACATTCAGAGTATCGTGTTTTGAGCTAACAAGCCGTGCATGGCAAGAGAATACTGACATCAATGGGTCAGGTTATATACTGTATTGGATCAATCACACAGATTCACTTTTCATCATGTGTATCGCCCGTGGGTGTTCCAAGGTAGAGAATAAACCTCAATGAACCCATTCTTGTCATAAAAGGCGAATAAAATGAGGAAAATACATGGCTAAATGTGCGATTTGCATGATAGTATCCACACACGGTTGAGACAAGGCGCCCTGTACACTATCATTGGAACGATAACACAAAACAACTACAACCAAGATGCCATCTACCCGAGGCAAGACTGTAAAATTCTAGTTTCCTTTTAGAATCAGTTAACTCCCTTGCCCTAGGGAAGATGCCAAGATGCAGACCAATGGCGGATCGACTGGTTTGATGATTAATGGGGCCAACGATTGGAGTGTGTGTGTGTGTGTGTGGGGGGGGGGGGGGGGGGGGGGCATGGGATCGCGTGTTATACTAAATTAAATGAATTCACATGATTGTATATCTGAATATCAATAATACAAAGGTGTTTATTCATGTCAGTAAGGTTAATATGATAAACACACACACACGCACGCACGCACGCACACGCAATGCGGCTCCTATTCCTACATTTAATCGTTCAGTGATCAGTAATGACCTGAACAGTTCATATGACACAACAGGAAGAGCTGTCAATTATTCATATATGAAGCATTTGATTGCGCATACTTTTCTGTTGAATGTGTGACTCAGATATGGAAACAAAATTATAGTCAGGCAATAATACGCTGTTAACATGCACAGTACAACTGTGCTTTAGATCGCATTTAAATGAAAATATCATGCAATAATAGCTATTAAAGCTAAAATGAATTCTCACAACAAAAACATAGTTCCAACAAGCTTCTTTACCTTCACAGGGCCAATTTCCCTACTAATTCTACTCCAGTCGCTATGTCAGATATGACTTTTACCTAACCCCTTTGTAGTTTCAAATGTTATATTTGGGATAACACTTTCTTGGTAAAGTACAGATTCTCGGACTTTTGGGGGTTGCGTCCCGTCAGAGTGAGGCACCTAATTGCCAGCACGCAAAGTCAGCGATCTAACCACCGAGGCTTCCACAAAAATGAAAGTCCGACAACTGGTAGTCTAGATCACGTACTTTGTGTACCACTCTGACAAGTGTAAACTGACACGGCTCCCTTGGCCGAAAGCTTTGAACACACAATGCCATTTAGAAAGTGGTCAAATGTAACAAATGTTACATTTGGGATAACACTTTCTTGGTATAAAGTACAGATTCTCGTACTTTGTAGTTTTAAATAAAATGGTGGACGCCGGATGAACCACTGGTTTGTTTAACGAATACTCACAGGCCGATATACCGGTGATTGTTTGTTTGTTTGTTTGTTGTTTAACGCCGCATTCAGCAATATTCCAGCTATATGACGGCGGTCTGTAAATAATTCTGTGATTGACATCATAAGCATGGACCCACGCAATGGGGATACGATGACATGCTTCAACCAAGTCAGCGGACCTGACCAAACGATCCCATTAGTCGCCTCTTACTACTAGCACAGTCACCTATTACGGCAAGCACAGGTTGCAGAAGCCCTATTCTAACCCGGATCTTCACGAGTGTTCCCGGTGATAACGCTGTATCGGACATACACCACTAAGTTCATACACACTTAATTTACGTCACCCGGAAAACATAAATGTCTGCTTCCAAAACGTTCATAGTTAAAGACCTGGGCCCACTTGCACAAAGCGATCTTAGCGCTACGACTATTGTAAGCCTATGTTAAGGTATTGAAGTTACGATCATCGTAGCGCTAAGATCGCTTTGTGCAAGTGGGCCCTGGTTTAATAGGTCTAGACGATGTACTGTGAATATATATAAATATATATATATCTCAATTCCGTCAGAACTGGAAATCCACTGCCGAATCAAGCTCCAAAGGGTCGTATTACCAGTACTTGAAGAATCAACCTTCAATTGAGAAATATCTATTGCTCTCAAAATCAATATTTCTCCCTATATTAAAATTCAGAACTTCTAACCATAGATTACCCGTTGAAACTGGTCGATGGTTGAACATTCCCAGGGAAGACCGCCACTGTCTACTCTGTGATTCAATCGCTGTGGGAGATGAATTTCACTATTTATTCCGATGTGAAGCTTTTCACCAACAGCGATATGAACTCTTAAATAAGCATTATCTTCAGTTTCCAAACATGTCCCAATTTAAAAAAACTATGACCACAAACAGTGTAAGAGATCTAAAAGGCCTATCTAAATTCCTTAAGAATGTTTACAATACAATTGGTAAATTGTATTAGTAGCCACGAATCCTATTCTTGTTAAATGCTGTCATTGTGTACATAATAAAAATTGTATATAATTGTATCTCATGTACCACCGTGGGTGGTTTTTCTGAGAATAAATGAGTTTGAGTTTGAGTTTGAAACGTGTGAAACACGGTCTCTGCGTTGTAATGACAGTCATTAACTGCTAGGTAAACATGCCCGTACCCAACTCAATATATATATATATATATATATATATATATATATATATATATATATATATATATATATATATATATATATATACACACACACACACACACACACACACACACACATATATATATATAATGACAAGGGCTGAGCGACAATGCATACATATATAACTTGAAGGTGGGGATATAAGATATATGGATGAATCACATCTTTATTACAATTAGGGCGACGTTTCCATGTAGTTTCTAACACTGTTATCGAGCAAGTGATGTACAGAATATGGTTGACAAGCACACATACAGGTATGGGGCAGTGTTTATACAGTTGAGTAGATTAGGTTTACACAATTTCGGAATTTGCTTCACGTAAAGGGAGACAATGGTACACACTGGGATTTAAATTATGGAAGCAGATTATGTCAAATTATTCACAGTCGCCTCAGGCTTGGCTGCAGCTATGTTAACGCAGATCAGTATGGTAGATATATCTTCGGTACAAAAACTTGTTCCTGTGGATATCATACCGAAGATATGCTTTCAGCTTTACACTTCTTTTTTGTTTGTACAAATTACTACAGTAAACTACGGTTATAACGAACTCAAAGGGACTACTTATTTTAGTTCGTTATAACCGTAATTCGTTATAAGCATATATACAGCATAACTACAGCATATAGTCGGGACTAAAAACTTAGTTCGTTATATCCGTTAGTTCGTTATAAGCGTGTTCGTTATAACCGTAGTTTACAGTATGTTCTTCGAAATGAAATGGTTTTTTTACCAACATGGTTATTCTTTACAAACAGTGCTATGCGGGAATTCGTATTTGAGTAAGGAAGAGCAAATCCTAATATTAGATTTATTCAAAACATCATTAAAAACTGGCAGATTTTCAGTTAAATGAATTGTTTAATATAAACTGCAAATAAGATTTATTATATAAACACATCTACC